AGCAGATAGGGTCTCGAATTTTTTCGTTTTTTAGATCTATAAGCTTACCTTTTACCAATTTTAAACATGTATATTTTACAAAAAAATTCCCTCACAGTTTTTAAGCACAAAAGCATAACTTTGTGCAAAACTGTAAGATGTAGAGAATATTAGGAAGGAGTAATTCAGATTCTTATTTGAAAAATAACATGTGACTCAATTGAAAATTGCAGCAAAATTCAGAATGCAGACTAAAATTATTTCAAATTAATTTCCCTGGCTCATAATTTTTTACTACAACTGCCCTTGTGTTAAGTAGATCAAAAGCTATATCATACTAATGTTTAACACACGATTGAACATGTGATTTAAGAGAAAAATACATACCGTTTATTGTTTATCAAAAACAAAAACCATGCTTAAGCTAGGTTATGCGGTACTACATCATCAATTATTGTGTAGGGCACTGAACGAAAAACGATCAGTATTTATAATTCCTCCAAACGCCAAAAGCAAGAGCTCTTTCCAAAAGTCGGCTTCGCTGATCTCTGGGAGTTGGGCAGCACTTTTCAAATTAGGTAAACTTTAATTCTCAAAAGTGCGAAAAACTTTAGTTTCTTATATCACAAGATAATCACAGCCTAGGGAATTGATTGCAACAATTTTGGAAATTTGCGGAGGTCAAATCCAACATTTGCGGGACTTAGCAGGACATTGCGGGACACGCGAATTAGCCTAATTTTGATCAAATTAGCGGGAAAATCCCGCCATTCGCGGGACACTTGACAGCTCTGTTCTTTCATCGCTTAACTTATATTAACTTCATGTGTGGCCGTAACCAAACCTGTCTGGCCCAGTTATCTACTCTGATATCCTAGATCTGGGCCAGACTCGATCCAATGCAAAAAATGGGGTATTTACTCCGGAAAAAACACACTGGTTTTTCAATGTATAATACGTGCTGATAAATGAATAAACATCATAAAAATCACTTATGTGTTTGTTCCTTGTATCAAACTTTGTATTTATATTAGGTTTCCATCGCTGGATGACGGCTAATAAATAAGAACGAAACGTCTAAACGCAGCAAAAAGAAAAAATCTTCTGCAATCTGTTTGTGATCTCGTAGAATATCGAGAAGTCTCGGCTGCTTATTTCGTTCAGTACTACATTCCGTCAGTTAAACAAATTGAAAAATCGTATTTAATGTCCACCATATTTCTTTCCAGTTTAAATACAACACAGACACGTCTGTTTTATAAAGTAATCTACCTTTTGATAACAAATCTGCTGAACAAATCGTAATATTTGGAATGTATTGATTCCCGGGAAATGTATTTTCGTTCCATGAAAGTTTAAAAATTATTGCGTCACACTCGTGTTATGTCACATCAAGTGACTTTATTCGGTGCGGAGAACTGACGAAATATTGACGAAATGTTGTGCCCATTTCAACATCAATATAACAAACAAAACACCACATTTACGCGTAAGTTATGTTGTCTTTATTTCAAATAAATACTTGGGTTTACATGTAGCCCGATGTTTTGGTTGGATGGCTAATAGGGAATGAATAATAAGTGATGATTCAGCGACATGTTTTTTTCTGAGTAAATCCCCTCTTTTTTGCATTGGACATTGTCTGGCCCAGATCTACGACGTCAGGAGTAGATAACTGGGACAGACGGGTTTGGTTAGTGTGGCCGTAAGGAGTCGCTCAATTACTTAAAACACATCATTTATGTAATATTACATAATATTGCATAACATTATATCACCTTATATCATAATTATATGTAATATTACTCCTATTATCATCTAAATATCTTTTTTGGAGGCTAATTTCGTGAAGGTAGGTGATAGGGGAAGGAGGTGGGCAAAATTTTCATACACATTCCGTACTTACTTACTCTCTAAGGGAAAACTAGCTCCCACAACTACCCGCTGAAAGGAAAAGAGAATAAAGTGACTTACCAACTCGGGGTTTACAATGTAAACAAACTTTAAACAAACTTTCCAATTCTCACGTGTAGTGTAGCAAAGATGGCGGGACAGGAGAACGATAACTCTCGTCTTCTCTCGTGTTGTCTCGCGAAGTACTTCCGGTCCATACGTTTTTTCTGAAATTGCTCAAAATAGTGTTAGTCGGACGTGTCGAGCAGTCCTCTTTAAGATCTCGAATCTCTCTATTGTCGTAAGTAAATGAGTACTCTTTAAGGCCACATAAAACATTATATAGTGCTATATAATTTATTTATATTTTTCCTTAAAAGTTCTTTCATCGCTTAACTTATATTAACTTCATGTGTGGCCGTAAGGAGTCGCTCAATTACTTAAAACACATCATTTATGTAATATTACATAATATTGCATAACATTATATCACCTTATATCATAATTATACGTAATATTACTCCTATTATCATCTAAATATCTTTTTTGGAGGCTAATTTCGTGCCATAACTTTGCATAGCAAAGTGCCGCCATAAATCCTTCATGTGTGTCAACATTTAAACCATTCTCTGATTTTAAGTCTGCAATAATCATTAAAAGAAGTTTTTTTGTGACAAAATTAAACCTGTCTGCTTGACCTAAAAATCTCACCAAAAATAAAATAAGTTGAGTGGTGTGCAAAATGTTTTTTCTTTTTTTTAGGAAGGATGCTTATTGGGAATTAACCCTTGGATACAGTAATCATCATTCCATTGTTAACCTGGTAAGTATAAGGGATAGTATTGAGGATCACGATTGGTTATTTCTGGTACAATTAGCTATATCTGATATGATTACGCTTGTAAAGGCTTGATTTTTTTCTCTGATTTTAAGTCTGCATTGATCATTAAAAGAAGTTTTTGTGACAAAATTAAACTTGTCTGCTTGACCTAAAAATTTCATCAAAAAATATAAGTTGAGGGATGTACAAAATGTTTTTTTCTTTTTTTGTAGGAAGGATGCTTATTGGGAATTTATCCTGGGATACTGTAATCATTCCATTGTTAACCTGGTAAGTAAAAGGGATCATGATTGATTATTCCTGGTAAAACTAACTATACCTGATATGATTACTCTTGTGTATGAATGCAGCATTAAACTGTTAAAGACTTGAATGAGATGTAATAATAATGAAAATGAAAAGATTTTAATTCTATACTCTCCTCTCTATTTATTTGAGATTCATTATATTCATGTAACCATTCTAGTCACTATCAACTGGGTAATCCTTGGGGCAAAAGAAGTGGATCGGTGCCCACTTTCTAAACTGAGATGCATTATCAAAGTACAGGTGGCAGCACTTCAAATGTGCATACCACCTACACCCTTTCCTCCCACATGAACCCCACATTCCCATTTCCTTATCCTCCCTGCTGCCCCAAGAAATCCCACACACGGGGCACCGCTCAACCTTTGTGGACTTGGCAACTGTAGCAATTGTATGCTCCTTAGTGGGGGTTGTAGGTAACACGCTAGGTAGTGGTGTTTGGGCTGTTTCTTCTGCTGTAGGCTCCTTGCTTTCTTGGTCTTCCTCTGGGTATCCTGGTGATGTCCAACTAAATCTGCATTGAAAATAGAAAATGAAATATATGATATAATAAAGACATAGTTTGATCATTCATAACCGATGTGTTTCACAATGGAAATGCATGCATTAATTGATAAAATAATATTTCACTCACGTCTTCCCACGATTCCAGTTTGGCATCACATTCAGCTTGACATGACATCCTGTAATTAAATGCAAGTCCCTAGCATTCCTCACCATCGTATGGCCCCTTGTCCCATAGGCATCCGTTCTTGCCTTCCCCTCCCTCCTAGCCGTCAATATTCGATCAACCCTCGTAGGCTAGACATTTCGAACGACTTTGAAAATTTACAATGGCGGCGAGAAGCTTGATTCAAAAAAGTGAAACTGAAATCAGTTAAAAAAAGCAGGTAAGCTAGCGATATTCACAGTTCTCAACAACCTATTCTGTCCACTATTAATTTATTTTACTGTAGATTTTTGTAAATGCTGGTGAAAATAATTGAAAATGGTTGTATTCTTTGAAAATCGATATAAAATTTGCTGACCTTATATTTTGCTTGCTATGGGTTACAGGCCCGTGTGAAAAGGTCAAGCTCGTTGAATTCTACGATATAAGGCAGGTAAATTCCCGAGCTCTGGGGATTCACCGACCTCTGGGAATTCGTCGACTATTCCTAACTGACTTACTGCAACTTCTATAACTGTTATTTGATTGTGCCTTACAGAGTCGCTTGTCTACTAAATACAACTTTATTAGAAGTCACAGTGAAACCTACCAAGTGGAACACCTCTAAAGTGGAACATTTCTGTTAGAGGAACACTTCTGTTAGAGGAACATTTTAAACAGTCAGAGGTGTTCCACCCCATACAGGGCTCACAGTACCTTTGTACACCTGTTAGGACATTAGGTGTATATAGTTTGAAGGTTATAACGAACATACCTTATTTACCTTATTATTTGAAGTTATGTCATTCCTAGTGTTTGAGTGAGAGGCCTACACTGCCACTACTTTAGGGCCCTGCGACCTAAAGTGCCGCCACCAAACGCTAGGGATGCCACTCAGCACCTAGTATCTTTGTATTGGTAGATTTTTGACACATGTAATAACAAATTGATTTAACTGACAGATTTTATTTTTTATTTTCCTTGACTAGTATGCAATAAAACCTTACAGCATTTATCCATTAAACTCATTACGTGGCTCTAGTTGACCTCGAAGCCTCTGCAAGTGACATCCTTATTTATCCAATCTCACTTAAAATGTCAAAGAACGTAGCCTTAGTTGACCATGGGGCTTCGCTGGAGACATTTTTCTTCTTAACTCGACTTCCCCATTTTATATATCCATTTAAACTTATATTCTACATGTTTATCTTCAGCGGAAATGTCTGACTCTACCCACCTTACTTACCAATTGCCGAGGATGATTGCTTACTCTACTTTTATTACCTAATATACTTTAAGAAAGCAGTAAAGTCCATCTGCCCATTTTCATGATCTGAATATCAGAAAAGCCAGACTGGGCTAGAAATGTTGCACCCCCGATACGAAAGCTATGCGCTTTAAATAACCCTATTGAACACCCTAATTTTGTCAACACTGCTTTCATTACATTTCTGAACTGTGTGGTACTTACTGCTTCTCTTTTATGTAAAAATAGTGGGCCATCGTGCCACCCTCTTGATCTTAAATAAGTACGCATTGCAACAATTGGGCATATGGTACTCTTAACTGCAGGGTATATATTGATTTAACAAGGTCGAGTGCTGTGCTTAAAAGTTTGAAAACACAGAACTAGGCCTTTATGGGAAAGTTTCTCTAGGCTATTGATTTTTAAATTGTGGGTAAAACCAGTCATCTCCCCTACTCTAAGCAACCCAAAGAATGCCAGAGTGAACATTGCTGTGTACAAAACTACAGCTCCCTCATCATTAAGCACTTCTGGTAAGGCCAGTACCATTTTCTCCAATAATGCAATAGAAATAGGTTGTCTGACATCGACAGCTCCCCGTGGTTTTGTTAAACCTTTTAGCCCTTGTTGAATAAAAAAGACTTGATGGGTCTTTTAGTCCTCCCATTTTATGAACATAAGCTATAGCAGAAACAAAAATACGAATTGAGGAGGGAGCATAATGTAATTGATGCATTTCCGCTATAAATAGACTGAGATTTACTTCTGATAGGGGAAAAATTGAACAGTTCATTTTTTGGCCAAAGTGTACTAATTCATTCCAGGTCCGCTGATATAAGTCTCTGGTTCCAGGTGCCTGAGCCCTTGAAACTAGTTGACGGAAGATAAATTCCAGCTCTCCGGTTTTAGATTGTCCGGCACCTCTGTAATTCATGTCTTTGTGGGGCTTGACCTCTAAGAAACTCTGAAACATGTTCCTTGATAAAGCGTCCACTGCAACATTTTCTACCCCTGGGATATGCTTAGCTTTAACAAAAATATTATGTTCCAGACATTGTATTACCATTTTGCGTAATAGCAACATCATTTTCTTGTCCCTGGTAACCCCCTTATTTATAATGTGACACACTGCTTCGTTATCTGACCTAATAGTCATGCTTTTATTGGCAAAACATGTGCCCCACATCAGGATGGCAACCACAATCGGATACAGTTCTAAGAGGGCTATATTCTCCCCTTTCCAACTTTCTGGCCATTCCCCATAACTATATTCTTTGTCGTTCATCACCCCATAACCCCATGTGGAAGCATCTGATATTAGCGAACATTTATTTCGCTTTTCCCATTCCTCGTCTAAAAAGAAACTCTTCCCGTTAAAGTTGCACAAGAAACTTTTCTAAATTGACAGATCCATTTTGACCTCTGGCATGACTCTGACATGCCAATATCTTTGTTGTAGCTGCATGCTTAAATTTATGAGCCTTCTTATGAACGTTACCCCAAATGGAATAACAATGGTGCAATGCTGTAAAAGCCCTACTATACTTTGCAATTGTTTCTTTGTAACTTTGGCTTTGGTTTCTAATTCCTGGATTTTCAATTTAACCTTATGCAATTTATTCTTGGGTAGGCAGATCTGTTTGTTTATAGAATCAATTTCAATACCTAAGAAAGTTAAAACTCTCTCAGGACCTTCCGTTTTGTCAGGGGCTAATGGTACACCTACTCCTTGGCACAACTCTTGAAATTTTGACAGGCTTGCTTGACATTTTTTAAAGGAATCTTCCAGAATGATAAAATCATCTAACACAAGAAACATCGACCCTATGCCCAACTTATTAATTGCATTCCAATTTAATGCGGTGCTTACCAACTCAAAGGTTTTACATGATATAGACAACCTCATTGGCAACGTCAGGTCTAGATAATACTGATTCCGAAACTGGAAGCCTAACAAATGTCTATACTTTGGATGTATAGGTACTATTTTAAAAGCTGAACGGACATAACATTTGGCCATATACATCGGATGATTCTTACTTTTCAAGATTTGAACGACATTCTGAACCGTATGATATCTAACAGACGCCAGTTCTTTTTCTATGCCCTCATTTATGGATGACCCTTTGGGAGCTGACAGATGATGAATACGCCTAAATTCCCCTGGTGTTTTCTTAGGAACTATTCCCACCGATGATAAAATTAAGTTTTTTGGGCGTTCATCCCATGGACCCAGCAATATACCTTTCTGAACCTCTTTACTTAATTTGTCGGCCAGTATGTCCTCGTGTATTCTTGCTGATTTTAAATTCTGAGGGTCAATTTCTGAAACTCTCCCATTAAATGGGACTTCAAAACCTTCTGTAAATCCTTTCACTAAAGCCACTGTCAAATCCGAGTCGTAATCTTCTAAATATGGTTCTAACTTACTTATCTGAACAGGCGTATAAATTGGATACTTTTCAAAATTTATAGGACAGTTTCCTTCTTGCTGTTTCTGATACACAACTTTATGGACATTTACTTCTACCTTTGTTTGAACACTACTCTCATCATTTTTATCTTGATGTATGAGCTGTGGGAATTGGTTAACCTTCACATTGATATCTTCTTCCATTATTAGGGTATCGGTTTCCTCGTGTCCTGGTTGACCCTGGGGCCGAGTTACTTTTGGGTTCTTACTTTTCTTTGTTTCCCTGGAACTTAGAGCCTCGAAAAGGAGATTTGAGTGCTACTTCACAGTGGATGGCCTGATGTATTTTTGATTTACAACCTGGACATGAGTGAGCCCCTTTGCAGTTACTTCCCCCTGGGCAATTATCCCCTTTGTGGTACACAAAACAATAACCCCGAGGTATATAGGGCATCTTTGTCTTTGTTCCACCAGAATTTCTGTCGGGTTCTTCATCCTTCCCCTTAACTTTGTCAGAAACTTTCCAATCCCCTGTTCCCTTGTATTTTCCACCTTTTTTCTTATTTTGTTCGTGATCAATGTCCACTACACCCCTTGGAAGGTTAAATGATTTGTGGTATACTACTTGGTCTAACACCCCCCAGGCACACCATCTACTAGCCCTACCCTTTCTAAATTACCTGTCATACTTTCCCCAGTTACTCCCTTCTGCCTTCATGGCCTGAATGATGTAAGAGAGTATGTCCCCTGCTTCCATTGGATATGCTTCAAGATAAATTTTTGAATAAATGAGAAAGGCCCTTTGCCATTCCATATGGGGCAGATATTTTACTATTTTTTGATTCTTTCCTGGCAGAAATACATGCCTCCCCTCCCCATGTACGTTTGTAACTTTAACTTCATCATCATCTTCACTATCATCCTCACCATTCAACAATTTGCTCAATTCAACAAATTCATGTTTGCAAATTTTTTCTCTTAGTCTTCTAGGGACTTACATACCCAAGGCTGCGCCATAATTTAACATGGGAGATGAGGCATATATGTTCCCCTTTACCCTCATGTCATCAATACCTGTTATACCCTGGTCTAGAATGTAGTTTTGGGTTGGTAGGGTCTCATTACGATGTAAACCATGCTGTGGGGCCAGTGATTGTCCCATTGGAGCTTGGGGTGGGGCCATTGCCTGTGCCATTGGCGTATATGTCGCAGATGGCTGATACACCTGTCTATCTGGTAATGTTGGCCATCCCCATCCTGTAGCGTCTGGAACACTTTTGGTTCTGGTATAACCTAGCCCTGGTTGACCCTGGGGCTGGTTAACCATCTGACCTTGGAAGTTATAACTTTGATCCTGTGCTCGGGGACCTAGCTGACTCTGTTGGCCTATCTGTGGTTGAGGGGCATTTAGTCTCTGCCCTGGTTGACCCTGGGGCAAAGGACTAGCTTGGCTCTGTCCAACAGTGTGGAGTTATTGAGGACTCATCAAGTTTTGTTGCGGAGTGAAAAGGTTTTGCCCTGTAGCCTGAAACATTTGCGGCCCAACAAAGCTCTGCCCTGGTTGACCCTGGGGCTGAGGATTTGTTTGACCTTGCCTTTTTGGACCACCAAAATCACTACCCCCGTACGGCAGAGTCTCAACTGAGGGGGTTTTCTTAGCTGCTTTAGATCTTTTTGTTTTCTGACCTCTGCGTACCTTTACTAGTTTGTGGTTTTTCCCCTTCTGGGTGAGCTTGCGCTTTTTTCCTCTTTTTCCATGGTGCCCTAAAATTGAACCAAATTTTAAACCCAAAGCTAGAACCCTCGTTCCCATCCCCTAAGCCCCTTTATTCATAAGACGAAAGGCCTTGACCTAGAATGATTTATGTTTGTTATGGCGCGACTCCATGGGCAAAAGCTTTTGCAATTACCAATCATTCTCATGTCTAAGCCCTTCCTCCTTTGATTCCCCTTGGATAAACCCTTTCCAGCTGAACTCAAACCTCATCTCTCCAACTGGACCGTTACCTTCTCCTCCACGGTACTTACTTCTTTAAGTAGTTTACATACGGAAGCTGGTCTTTCCTGTAGTTAACCAATTATTAATAATACTACATTACCTCTTTAGGTAAACTATGTTTTGATACATGCAACTAGCCAGAGGCAGGAAACAACAACTGTGTTAACTATGTCCTAGCCTCCCCAAATAACGTTTTTGTAATCAAAGGGCACCTTTTATCTAGGCAACGGTCATATAAGGGCCGTGTCCTGTCAACTATTCCTGGTGCGTACTAAAAGGAAAAGAAATTACCGTATTCTCTGTAATTAGCGCCCAGGGCGTTTAGAAAATTGAAAATACATTATTTAGACCATTCTAATAAGCGCCCATGTATGAAAGAAATCAGAAATCCCGAGGAATTTCATGTATGGCAATTTTTCTTGACAAGAATGCATTTTCTTCAACATATTTTTATAATAATATGACAAGTGCTGTTATTGGAGAGAATACGGTAAAGATCGCTTAGACAATATTGACAGTGGTTGAAGACCTGTCTATGTCTAATTTATTTCCGGCACGCCCACTTTGTCATTATCGCCGATTACCTTCAATATTTCCACTAGAGACTGCTGGATATCGATCTAAAGTTATACATTATTTCTAATTTGATGAGAGATCATCATTATTCGTGCAAAAGTCGAGTAAAAGTCGAGAAACATTAAAAAGAAACCAGAAAGTTCACGACCTTGACATGCGCAGAACATCTGCGCAGTAGCTTTTGAAATTTCTGAATGCCGATAAAGAACAATTCCTTCATTCATTATGGACTATTTGGAGACAATATTAGCATGGTATGGTGTGGGAAGCACCCATCGATAGATATGTATCGAGAGGATGCATAGAATTACAAAACGCGTCGTGTTTACAGCAGTTTTAGGGTAAGTACTCTATTATCGCCCGCTCCTGGATTTTGAGAAATATTTTTTTCCTGATATATTCTTCAATTCTTGTTGATTCCTCGATGTTTCTTGAACTTTGTGAAGCGGGGTGGGCGCTTATTAGAGAGTGGGCGGTAATTACAGAGAATACGGTACTGATTAACTCTTGTTCTATTTCCTTTAGAAAACTGTACTATATTCCTTATTTATATAATCTATTCTGGTGTTCATAACTACAACTGACACCAGTAGAATCAACTAATAAGATGGCGGGAAACTGTGTTAGCTATGCCCTGGCATCTTACAATACTATTCATGCGAGTAAAACACTTGCGGCATAATAACTAGGCGAAGGGGGAGGAAAAAACTATGTAACTGCATCCATGCCCCTTAGCAACAAACTGCCTTTCTCAATGGGTAAACTATACCACCCACCGGGAAAGTTGCCTTCAAGGATTTAGGGCTCCTGTTTAGCCATCAATTACAACTTAACTAGTAGGAAGCAAGATATCTGTTTTTTCACATTGCGCTTCCGTGGGCTTATGCCCATATTATACTACTGTGTTAATTATAATATCTATTTTATATTCTACCTTAGTAAACACAACTATATTAAAACTATAACTTACGAGATCTGCCAAGCCCAGTCAGTATTGCCAATGTGACAGCCTTCTTCCACTTTTTCAAACCTTTGTCATTGAAATGACAATCGTCTTCCAGCAGCTCCCGAAAGTTGTGGACTAAACCTTTCGAATTCCAGTAGATTATACTACTTAGTTCCACTGGTTTCTGTTTCCCTTTATCGTTCATATATTTGTTTAGGTTTGAAATGAGGGTATTACATCTTTTGGCATGCTCAATGGATTTTATATGACTTTTTTTTGTTATTGGGGTCACCCATCTACATGGGATTTTTCCAATTATGACTCTCCCCTGACGAAATAAATAATCTCCTGCCTTTTCGGCTACCCCCCAGATCTTGTCACGCAACTCGACCGCCATGTCCTGTAACTCTTTTTCTGATGATGGACATTTAATGAGGTTTGAGGCTTCATTCCCTTCAACTTGTATATATATCATGGAATATTTTCTGGGTAAGTTTTCTATAATATTTTTAACGTCCTCTGTGGTACCCCGCTTTTATACCTGAATTTCAAACTAAATCCTGGAGGTTTTACTTTCAGGGGATTGTCTGACAAATAAGATTTTAGGCCTCTAATGAAACTATGTCCTATGAAGAGGACTGGAACACCCATCTCAATCAAACGAAGCTAAATTCCCTGGAGCACATAATGGGAAACACAGCTTTAACTATTATGATTACTAACATCTATTGTTCCCTTACTGGAAACAGTTTAATCTTACGCTAATCTTATCTTGAAGATCGACTTGCCAAAAACTTGTGTCATTAACTTATAAGGCCTATAAATGCTTTACTCGGGTTTATATAACCCTTACTGTTTCCGTGGACTCAACATAAAAATTGTCCTTTATATAATAACTAACTTGCTACTCACCTTACGTTGATATGTATGTAATACCAACTTACAATTCTTTTGGCAAATTTAAATTCTCTTCAAATTGTACAGATTACCGTTATCAAACAACTCAATTTCCCAGTACGTTGATGAGAGTATGTTTTCCAAAGGTTGTCTTATAACTGCTAATGTGCCATGAAGGAGTTGCTCACTTAACCTACTACTAGACAACCTAAGCAAACAGGTAGGAAATAGGGGTGAAACGAATACTCGAGTATTCGGTTGCAAATAGGTCTGAGGTGATATTCGAATGGCATTTTGTGGTATTCGAATATTAAAGGTTGAATAAATAGCGCAGACATATCCAACGATCATGGTTCTGGTGTCAAAATATATCGAATTTAGAATATTTCATCAAGGCTAACATCTATTTTCATTAGCTACAAAGAAAACCCCAGAACGTACCTAATTTCTGCCGATATTCACAATCACTATCATCCTAAATTCCCGGGAATCTTCTCCCGACATCAAGAGAAAAAACTTGCTCACGTACCTTTTAATGATTTCCCGGTTATATTGTCATTGGATTCCAGCCCCGTTTTCACCTAACGTTCTATCCAACATTCTGTTTCCTTTATACCATGCGCATGTCAAGAAGAGCTTGAATATGGGCAGATTTGAGGTGTTTTAGTCTTCGATTTTTTTGATTTTTCTTCGTCAGCGGATCAGATTAACTGCAAGAGTCGCCGGTAATAGTCTGTCAACGGCGGTCATATCGTGTACCATGCATACGGTTATATCAGACAACTGCGGTTATACTGTAACACGTGAATTGTTCCCTGGAATGGGATTCTAAAGCCACAAGTGAAACCCTCAATCAATTGTTTTTTTAAACCTTCATCATAGCCTTCCAAATAACTTGCTAATTTCCCTATTTTTACCGATGTAATAATGGTTGAGCCTTCTAAACTCTTTTCATGACCTGTTTGTGGATTTGGATTAGGATTGACACAATTGACTTTACTTTGTTTTACTTCCCTCTGAAAAGTTGACGTTATGATGGGTATGTCCCAACCTGTTTCCTCTTCTGAAGAGGTATCATTACCAATGTTATTTCTTGACACATTTACTACAGGGTCCCTCTCTGGATATAAAGGGTATGGTAGGGTGCTGTCTGAGTTTAGACTATACATTGTTTTTTGCTTCTTTTTATTTAGTTTTTTAGTTTGGGTGACTGGCACTTTCCACCTTCGTTTTGTTGTTTTTTCTTTTCCCATATTCTGAAATGTGATAGTACACTATAGCACTTAAATACTCTGAGCGACTCCTTGGGCAAATGAAATGCGTTCCTGCAATTCAATTACCTAAGTGCCATATTGAACATAATGTATGACCCCCCTTTACTCCCTATTCTATGGTTTGCTGTTACGTAATCGTCATTACCTAATTAATTTGGATGAAAATTCCTTCAATCCCCGTTATTTTCAATGTACCTAATATATTTAATTTCATACATTCTGGATACATATTATTCATGAACATGACCGTATCATATACCTATCATCAATGCACATGTACATAAAATGTACATGTTTGACTAACTCGTCCAATTCTGTGAATATTTAGATGAGAGTATAGTCCTTGGATACTAGCTAGCTAAATAATAACATGGACGTATGTGTCATTAGTATCATGCAAAATTTTTTACTTGGCCTACTTACTAAGCCTTGCTTCCTTAGTTATAGTACCATGCCATAACTATGTTAAAAGACTATTTGGATTAAGAAATACTCACTCTTCCTTGCTATGCCAAGGAATAGGGCGTCCTTAACCCCTTGTTTGTACTGGGGCATAAATGCATCCTTAAAATGTGTCCCATCTTTGAGTTTTTCCCTAAAGCCCATTTCTATTCCACTCGTCCTGTATAAAATGATGGGAGGATGTGCTTTTGACCTTTGATTTAATAAATTATTCACCATATGTGTCACCTGATTGTGACGCTTGGCATGCCCTTCAAATTTTATCCCCTTTTTTAAATGCCTGGGGGTGATCCATCTCTGGATTAATTTGCCAATGATCACTAAGCAATTTGGTTTCACATGAATTTTGCATTTTAAAGCTAAAGTCCATAATTCTTCTGCTACCACTTTTACTACCGATTTCAAATCAGTTTTTTGAGAAAAAGTTTTATCCGCTATGTCATTACCGCCTGCCTGTATAAAGCAGACATCATATGCCATCGGGCCCCAATCTACCACTTGTTTCGTTATTCCCTTTGTTATCCCCCCATTGACGGGAAGAAAGTCGACTTGGAAACCCTCATGGGGATTAAACCCCCAAGGATTATGTTTGCCCTTGAGATGCTTCTCTATATGCCCAATGTGAGAGCTCCCTTCGATCCATGCCCTCATGTCATGTTGTTTACTCATGTTACTGAAACAAACAAAACATAATGGTGAAAACTTACCACATGCTTGTCTTTTAGTTGCACCTCATTGTTACTCGGGATCTAAAATCTACAGGTAACATGCTACTAACATTTTTAAACTACGATTTTTTAGAGGCACATGGCCACTTGCTTGCTTGGTTGCTAATATATCGTTGCTAGCTTGCTGATTTGCTTCAGATAGAAAAGGAAATTAAATTGTCTTGGTCTCTTGTATGTATTTATGTAAAGTTGTTATAGTACTAGGCTAACTTGAAATATTGTAAATATAACTTCGGGCTTGTAAGCTTACTGTGGCTCATTCTAAACGTTACAGCTTTAAATTAAATTTATTGTTGTTTCCGTTCTTTAATCAAGAGATCAAACCAATTTTTCTTTATCTGGATTGAACTTTCTTGCAATCAATGACAATTCATTGTCCTAAATTAACTAGCTAAGTTGCTGTTGGCTTGCTATTCATTTGAAATAATTTTTCCATGGCGGTTCTTCCATTGTTCCGACCACGTGAGATTATTTAAAACCTCAATTAATTCTAAACCTGGAAGTGTTTCCATGAACTAAAATTTTCTAGCACCTTACTAAATCATGATAGAATTAACATACCTATTTTTGATTTGCTGCCCACTTACTACTTCTGTACTTTTTAGTTTTTTGCCTCTGAAAATTCGCTCTGTGATTTCGGTCCTAATGGAAGAAGCATGAACGGAAGTTAGACTTCCCATCATGCATCACTTCTTCGGGGATGCTCTGTAAAACTTAAATTAGGATTAGAAATTCATTTCCACTTAAGCCATTATATCTACAACCCGCTAGGTTACTCTGGATTATCCCTTCCTTAACCGGTAAGTGAGCAACAACCTTCTTGACACATAAAGTTTTCTATTTCATAGAATTTATTTATACACATTGTGGTTCTGTTGAGAATTGAAATGGCCTTTTCTTCCTGTATTTGCACATTATAAGCCATCATTTAGAGGAGCACTAGCAAACGTCCCATGGTATAATTCTATTGGTTGTATCTTCTTTTAAAATGCAGATTTGATTAATTGGAAATCTCTTGCAGGCAACGTGACCTTTAAAACCAGTACCCGTGATGATTGCAAGTGTAATAGTTTCCTTTGAAATTAAGGTGCATGTATGGTATGCCCTAGATGTGGATCCACGGCTCTAGTGACTTATTTGACTATCGGAGTTTTGATAAGGTCACTAGAGATGTGGTTGCCCCATTTGTTTTTTTTAAATATATTTGTCCCAACATCATAAAGACTGTGATGTCATCTGAGCTTCAGGTGTAGAGTATCTCCATCTCAACTTTTTATATTACATCCATATTTGTAGTCTTTGTATTGTACATCATTCCAGAAACATATAATATATGTCTCTGATAATTCATAATATTGGCCATCCAGCTGTGTCCATCCATATTGAAAACTGCTTCATCTAGTAAATTTTTTTAAATTTTCCAGGAATTCAACAAGGTCAGTACACGCACATATTTCTGTCGCCAGAGATGTTGGAAGGGGCGCAGAAATTTCTTCAGAAATCTCCAATGTACCAGGATGCAGTGAAAGTCATAGCTGTTGATGAGGCACATGTGATTGAGACTTGGTAATGCTACATTAACTTTTTTTCAATAAGCTTGATGTAGAGGAGTGGCATCTGTTCCTTCATGTCCCCTGCCATATCTGCCCATGAAAATTTCTTTGATGTTTCCTCAGTTAGATCTTGTTGCATCTGTTGACATCTAAACAGGATGACTTCATTGTTTACCTGGTTAAGAAAACTTGGTCATCATACTATTAACAAGATTACTATTAATTTCTATTTACAGTATTACTTGCCAGCATATTAATAAACGGATGACCTCCAACCCAACATTTGTTTTATTTGCAATGAGTGTCACAAGGTATCTGTAGTCGTGGTTTCTTGCATATTTTACAATTTTCTCGACGTTTCCTCTTGATACCTGAAAATATTAAAAACAATACAGTGTAAGTCATTTGCTAGATGATTTTATAATTATAAGTATTCATAATGTAAATGTAACTTTTAATCAGTTGTGTCAGTATCCATGAAGATGCCAAAATAAAAGTTGCAAAATGTACTTCATATTATATTACATATTATAATTGTCAATCAGAATTTATTTAATTTAGCTATGAATAACATGTAAGTACATGTATATATTGAATCATTTACAAGTACTATGTATCATTTACATTCATTTCATTGTTATGTAGTTATCATACTGAATATCTTCTTTGTTGATTTTGAAGAGGTGAAGTTGATGCATCCACCTTCATACGTTTCCTGCTTGCTGATGATGGGGTTGTAAGGGCCTTACGTTTCCTTTCCAGATAAGGTGTGCTTTGTGAACCTTGCACGTTTAGTCTTTTTGCCCTTTCCTTAAAGCTTTTGATATGAATCTTTAAATGATTTGAATATCGGGCAATATGCCCAGCGATAGAGTTGCAATCAACACATATAAATCTTTTTACTTTACTCTTGGCCGTAGGTGTTAGGTTTATGTTTAATGTTTTCTCCAAAGTTTCCTTATGGCCTCACTAGTGCCCCTCAATTTAGCGTCTAATAAAAATCTTTTTAATCCAACTTGCCGTTCCTTTATCATTTTTGGCTTGAATGCAATGCCACAATTTGAACAAGTGCCATTTTAAAATATTCAATTAATTGTCACAATCCATTTTAATTTACATAAAAAGTCATTTCATTGTCAAGGCTAATTATGTTTAATTTGGTGGTCATTCATTGTATACTATTTAGTTCAATTTAAATCACTGCTTTCTTAATTTTATTCCATTTTAATTTCATTTAGATAGAATAAATTAAATTCAACTCCATCCATCATGTACAGCAGCTCCAACATCGAACATATACCTCACTCTGTCAATATGCTATACAGTTTTATTATATGACGATGTAATCCAATTAATTTAACACCTATTTTTCAATGAATACGTTTTTAGTGATAGAAAGTCTAAACAATTTTCAGTTTTGATGTTCCTTTTCCGGTTTTCCCAAATTTTAGTCACGTGACTTGTGACAGCACGCATGCGCATAAATTATGTAGGTCAACTACAATTTTGAGAATTCGACTTTCTCTCACCTGAAAAATACAAAGACACTTCTTGATATAATTTGCAGGATAAACATGATTACAACTAGGGTCAATTTGAAGACAAACAACGTCGCTACATAGTGGTCCAAAAATTTTAAAGATTAAGGTAAGGAGCTCCGAGAAAAAGCAAAAACAACAGATCCGTTGTTTTTCAGAATCTCAACTTGCCTGGGTTTTTAAATGCTTGGTGATACGCCTCTGGAGCCATGACAAATCTCAGATATATACAAGATATATATTTAATATTTATCTTTAATCTCGTTAATAAAGGCCCAGAGGCGCATGAATGCAATGTGACCTTTAAAAACAGTACCCCCAATGATTGCAAGTGTAATAGTCTCCTTTGAAATTAAGGTGCATGTATGGTATGCCCTGGGTTCAAGGGATGGTACCTCTACAGTGACCCACGACATATTTGTACAATTAAGTTTTTGGAACAATCCATCTGCTGGGACACATCTATACCTGTTCTCTACAAAGTACGGTGATTCCACGAGGTCACTTGTAACCCCACCAAATAAGACACATTGTAAATTTCCCACATCAGTCAGCGTAAAGCCTGTCCTATGAGGAGGAACATTATTTTGAGGTACAATTTTGATTGTTGCTTGTTTATTGGGCGATCAGGGCCAACCCTCTGTTCCGGCCACTCATTCACAATGTCAATGGATGTGTTACAGTATTATATTATATTCACATTAAGTTTAGTTAATATGCATATTGATAAACTAAACTTAATGTGAATATAATAGAATATAATACTGTAACAGATGGGACTTCACAAGCACTGCCTACGTGTGTCGGGGATGGCCTGGTTGTATACTGCTGTAGTCCAGAGAAGGGGGTTGTCTCGGCTCTTCTAAAAGAGCGATAGGCGAGTGTGTTACGGTAGGGTACATGATGGTAAAACTTTCCCCGCAAATCAAAGCCATAGTACATTGAATCGAAGGATGGCGGGCACTCGTTATCTGGTGGATATGGGGTAAGGTCAGGGCAGCTTGCAGACCTTTGCATGACACCCATCTGAAGAACGTCGGGTACTTCATTGCGCCTAAATGTCCCAAGTTGGGGCCAGTTATGCCTATGAATCCATGTCTCGCTTGGCTGCACTTCAACGCCTGGGTCAATGAAACCTGGCTCCAGTTCATCCTCATACTGCTGAGATGGTAATTCTGAGGATTGAATGTCAAACAAACGTAAATACTCACAAAAACTCATGATGAATCTTTTTTCCAACTTTTGAAACAATCAAAAACACCATGGGATTACTTTTCCCGAACTTTTTTGAAAGCTTTTAACCAATCAGATTTAACCTTTGGCGTAATCAAGCAGCAGTCTTCAAAATTGAAATATTCTGAGGAAATTGGAAACATGAGAAGTTTCTTCAGTAAAGCCACCATAATATTGCATTCTGAAAAAATGTATCTCTTGGTGCTTCTCTTCCTAATGGGAGTGAGATTTATATGAAACGAATACTCCAAAATTTCTCTTGTCACAAGGCTTGTTCCTTTGAGTTTTGCTTCTAATGAGAATCCTTTTAATCCAATCTGTTTCTGTTTGATAATTTTGGGCAAAAAAGTAGTGCCACAATTGGCATAATTGTCACAATCCATGTTTACAATAATTCCATTATTTTAATTCATAAATATTCCATTGCATTATAGTCACTGAATTTCTGTGTTGTAATCAACTGTTCATTTCATTTTTCCATAAACACATTTTCATTTTTAATTTATTATTTATAGTCCAATCACTGTTTTCTAATTAATCCATGTAGATTTCAATTTCTGGGTAAACTGCTTTAGATACATGCAAACTTAAAGGAGGCTGGAAAAACTGTGTTAACTATATCCTGGCCTCTTAAATTAAAGTTTCAGGTTTCTTAAAAGGAAAAGAAACTACTGATCAACTATTGTTCTACTTCCTCTCGTTCCGTTATGGTGTCATAACAACACCTGTCAACTGTAGCTATCAACTAATAGGAGGCAGGAAAAACTGTGAACTATGTCCTAGCATCCCACAATACTTCCCCTTGTGGGTGAATCACTTGTGGAATATAAATTAGCCAGCAGGGAGGAAAAAATTCGCCCTCTAACAACAAACCACATGTCCCTCATGGGTTAACTGTACTGTCCCTGGGAAAGCTGCCTGCAAGGATTTTTGGCTGCTGCTTTGCCACATATTTTAAACTGAAAGCAACATGTAGTATGAAGCAAGATAACTGCTTGATTAATCTTCGCGCTTCCTTAACCTAAAGCTTCTTGGAACTTACTTTCGGGGCCCATATTGCCCATTGTTTTAGTTATATTATCTATTTTATATCATACTTTTAGTAAAATATGACTATATTTAAACAATACTTACTTGATCTGCCAAGCGCCGTCAGAATTGCCGATGAAACAGCTTTCTTCCAGTTCTTCAGACCATTATCGTTAAAGTGACAACCTTCTCCTAGGAGCTCCAGAAAATTGTGGACCAAACCCTTTGAATTCCAGTATATTATATTCCTTAGCTCCAATGTTTTTTTGTTTTACCTTCCCGTTCATTATTTGTTGAACTTTTAAAAAACCTTTTAAAAAAATTAAGAAGACCAAATGAATCTCCCAAAAGCTGAAAAAATCTTCAGATAACTGGGTCTGTTGTTTACATATTCTTCATACTGTGCACCCTATGCAGACAGAGCCTGTGGGAAATATTGGGTGGGGAGCAAATGAGCGGAGGGTGCGGAGCTAACGGTCATTTTTGAATTTAAATTTGGGATATTTCTGGAACTAAGCCGTTTTGGGACTTCAAATATACCAAGATATGTGTATTTGACACCAAATATCAATACAATTGTGAAAATAGTAGCGCAATTCATTCTATAGCGACGCAGTGTGCCTTAAACCTTTCCCAGACCTATATATTTTGAAATTATCCTTTTAATACTGAGTCCCCAGCATTCATAAAAAATGGTGTTCAAGGTACACTATCTATACAAATTATTTTTGCATCTTGGAAGCCAGGCAGTATCAGTGTGATTTTATAAAAATTCGGAAATGTTTTTCAGATATGAGCCCCTCTAAATATTGGGTGCGGAGCAGCTCCATAAACGTAGCTCCGCACCCAATATTTAGAGGGGCTCATATCTGAAGAACATTTCCGAATTTTTATAAAATCACACAGATACTGCCTGGCTTCCAAGATGCAAAAATAATTTGCATGGGTAGTGTATCTTGAACACCATTTTTTATGAATGCTGGGGACGAAGTTTTAAAAGGATAGTCTCAAAATATATAGGTCTGGGAAATGTTTAAGGCATACTGCGTCGCTATAAAATGAATTGCACTACTATTTTCACAATTTCATTGATATTTGGTGTCAAATACACATATCTTGGTATATTTGAAGTCCCAAAACGGCTTAGTTTCAGAAATACCCCAATTTTAAATTCAAAAATGACCGTTAGCTCCGCACCCTCCGCTCATTTGCGCCGCACCCAATATTTCCCACAGGCTCTGTCTGCATAGGGTGCTGTGAAAGGCTTGTTCTTCCATTCTTTATTTTTACCTTAATCTCAAATCCTTGAATATGTGGTCAAGAATGATAAAAAATGAGTTGAAAAAATATCCCAATAAAAGTAAGGGATTGTTGAAGAGAATTGGGAATCGACCCACTGGTCTTGTGCGCATGTCAAGCACGCTGTCTGTTGAGCTACTTGTTTGAGTCTGGCAGCCTTGACAAGTCTTGATGAGCTTTTATTTGAGCATACGAAACATGTGTTACCAAGGAAGTAAATCCAGTGAGCCAATCAGATTGGAACGCATGTGTCAAATTTCTTTAATAGTGCTTTTATGCATCTGTTTGATCTAAAATATCTATTATTCCATGTTACATCACTTATCTCGTGAGATTGAGTTGCTTCAAGTGAAATGTTTCATTTAAAGTGGATAAAAAATAAATGTGAGACATTTAATTCTCAATTATTCTAATCCCCAGTGTTCCTTGGGGTTTTATGTCAAAAGTCATCTTACCTCTATCTCTGCTTTTTAAATGTGTCACATGTAGGAGTGGGACGGGTCGAAATGGCACGATTCGGGTCCGGGTCGGGTCGGGCCAGAGAAATCCGATTCGAGTTCCGACTCGGGTCGGGTTATATAGGCCTAACCTAGGCAAAAATTAAAAATCTTCAAAAAAAATAAAATTGGTTTTCATTTTAGCATTTTCATGCTTACCATGCTTATAGCCGTACTCCCGATGACACATCCGGCAAACGACATGGTCCTTTTTGATGGGATGGAACCCGAAATGCAGCCAAATTGGTGCCTTGAGAGAGGCTGGAGGATTTTTTAGGAGAAGCGATTTAGACATGTTCTTTTTTGCTGAACAGGCATATATCTACGAACGACCGGCGCGTTTGCAACAACACACCCAACACTTACGATTATCAATAAATCAGTGATTTATCTCATAGTTTTCATACTAGAAACACTCTAAAGTATTTGAGTTGAAAAGAATTCGGATATAATCTGATAAAAAGCACAAATTTCAACAACTTTTATTTAAGATCTAAAAACAAATACCGAACACAAAAGCCTGTGGTCGTTCGTATATTAGACATTTAACGAACGTGTAGAATTTTCGTAACAGAACAAAAAAGTCGGGAGTTTGTTCCCATTATTATCGTTTTACCTGTCATATATTTGTATTCAGGGGGGGATAATAAACAATTGTTTACTCATAAAACATAGAAAATTTCTCACAGGGAATGACAACATACATTAATAATAAAGATAAAATAACAAACGTCATTTTATTTTCGTTCGTAAATTAATCACCAAAAAGAAAACAAAACAAGTCTAACGTAAGTTTATAATTTCTATTTTATTCCAATCATTACATACAAACAAGTAATGTTATTACATTAATAATACTCAGGACATTTCTAATATCTAATATAAACACAAAGATGGGCTAGATCATGAAAGAAAGCCTTGAAATCTACAGTTTAGATACCAAAAATTGCCTGGAATTATAAACCGGAGTTTAATATCATTTTCAACCCGAACGAGTCGACTCCTCAAATAGAGGAGTCGATTCGGGTCAACCTGAAGGCCTCAACCGGCGGGGAATCGACTCATCGGGTCATCGTCCCACCCCTAGGACTCACATGGGATAAACTATAGCCTGTGGCTGCTGCAGCCCTCTCTTGTATCCTAGAAGCTGCCACTTGTCTGTCGCCCGTCCTATATTCGTCCGCAAACGAACGTATAACATTTTTTTAATTATTTGGTGATTTTTGTATCCGACATGCTTGGTTGCTGCTCAGTCGCCACATCAACAAAAAAAGTTGTGACTCAAACGACCCAATCAGATGAATTTCGTGATAGGGGTAATGTCACCATGTGCGCAAAAATATGTAAAATGGAAACATTGAAACGTTTCTGAACTAATTTCGCGTTCATTTCTATTGATTACTCTACTCACCTTCTCATATGGACAGAAATAAGCTGATGTAGTTACCTTGGAGTTTGTTTACTATAAATTAGAAGGCACGTGAGGATCCCATTCATCAGGTAACACTTATATGTCGAAGTTAAGTCTTGCCTTTTTTAACACTTAACAAGAAGTAGATCTAATCAAGGGTGTCCTTGATCTAATCTACCTTTTTATACACATGGGTGGTTCTGTTTTGGATTGAAATGGCTTTGTCCTGTAGCTTGAAACATCTGAGGTCCAACAAAGCTCTGCACTGGTTGATCCTGGGGCTGAGTATCTGTTTGGCCTTGCATGTTTACTTAGTTCCACTGTTTTTGTTTTGTTTTACCTTGCCGTTCATTATTTGATTTAGACCTGAGAATCATTGCGCTGTTATGTGTTCATTATAATTTATGATACTTATGTGACAAAAAAACTGAAAGGACATGTTCCACTGGTCGAAATTTGGGGTTAATATAAAATTTTATTGTAGAAAAAATTTATTATACTAGTGTAAACAAAAATTGTTGTAAAACTATGATAAATGTGAACTGATAATCTTTAAAAGTACATCTGAGGGGCACCCCTAGGACTGCTTCTGAGGTACAATTGAGCATTGCAGTGATCTTCACCCGACATATATGCTATCGCTATGGATGAATGGGTATGACTTGCACTAAAGTCGACCCCTGCGTGGTTAGTGAATATTCATATCAATTTCCGGAACTTACCAATTGCTGCATAAGAAATATGGCGGAAAGGAATAAAGTCATGTGAAAATTTTGCCCAGAAAGAATTTCATTTTATGACTCTATTTATTTCTTAGCATATAGTTTGGCTTAGCAGGGCGATAGAAACAGTGGTATATTGAGCATGGAAATATGACATTGTAAGTAGTATTTATGTTACGAATTACAATAAAGTAAGACCATATCACATTTGCACTCAGCAGTTTGCCCACATAATTTACACAGACATTTCTTGAAGTCTTTGTTGAGTTTTCTTGAAGTCTTTGTTGAGTTCACTGTCAATTTGTGTTTGGTGAAAATTCTGTAGCATATCTTTTTGTTGCCCCACTAGCAATGACCTCACTCATGACATCATAAAATTTTCCACCAAACATTTCGTCATATCCTGGATCAGCTGAGGCACTGGAAATCTTAGATGTAGTCCCATTGGCTCGACCTCCACTTGAATCTGGAGGAAATGTAGTCAATAAGCCACATTTGCTTACTGCACAAACGATGACTTCAGGATGTCACCAGCCTGTGCTCTTGAAAAATTGAAATCAATTGCTGGACGCTGGCCTGGAAATAGAAAAGAACAGGATTTCATTCTGTGTTTCATTAATTAATCTTATTTTATTAATCTTATTTTAACAATTTGTTCTTAATATATTTTTATAAATATATGCGATGTCATCTCACATGCTAGGAGCATGCAAATATTGGGAAATGAGCTTTTTGAGAAATATAATCATACGGCCTAAGAGCCTTACCCCCCCCCCATCAAAAATGTGTAGCACTTGATCACTATCACCTAACTTCAATCAGAGCCCTCTACCCCTACCCCCACAGAACAAACATGCATTGAGTTTTGGAAATCAACGTACCTATTATATCCTTCTTTATAGGTTTGGGGATTGGAATATTTTCATTTCTTCTCCGTGTTTTTTTTAAAATGCATCTGTAAAGTTTTCTTTCATCTTCATTTTCTTTCATCTTCATTGCACCACGACTGCTTTGTCATCATTATATACATGCCTCTTGGGATGTCTTCAGCTTTGGGAGGGCGAACACCTTTGAGCAGGACAACGGGTGGTATTTTTGTGCCATCTCCATATGCCCCACACAACACTGAAATCCTAGATTTTTCATGACCTGTTGTTTTCACAGTAACTGTTTTAGCACCAATATTGTCCACAGTATAATCTCCTGGCATGTCGATCCATACAGGAGTCTCACCCATGTTAGCTATGTTACTAAGAGGATAGTCTCTGGTCCTCCTTAGTCTGTTGACAAATCTTAGAAATGAAAAGATCCTATCATCGATCTCCTCTACACTCTTTTGGGCAATGTGAGTTGACCTCCTGAAGGTCCTGGAACCTCACAGCGATCTTTCGGATGATCTTCCCTGTCACTGGCCCACCCTTTTCCCGTCTCCTTTCTATTTCATTCACAATTTTATTTTCAATTTCAGGATATTGTATTGTCCTTCCAGCTCCAGGTAGACACTTTCTGGAGCCCCCTCCAGACAAAGTCTCCAAATCTTGAAGTTTTTTCTCCTGCTGATGCCATTCAATCACTCATCTTCTGTTCACTCCAAATTCTTTGCTTGCAGCTGAATTGTTGTGAATCTGTGCGTAATCAATTTCTTTTAATTTGAACTTAATAGAATATGCTTTTAGCTTTTGGCCTAAATTACTTTCGTCAGTTTGTTATCTCGTGCTTGTAGTTAACACGCGAATCTAGCTTTGCAAATCAGTTGCGCACATCCCTGGATCAATTTGTTATGACGAATCACTCATAGGTTATGTCATCACATGATTTCCAGATCCGTATATGGTAAGGAGGAAATATTAAATGCTAGAAACGACTTGTAGTATTCACCTGGATTTAAGCTCTGTTAATTGTAGTAAGAAGTGTTGCCTGCAAACATACATATGCAGGATGAAATCAATCGCATCCTCGTGTGAATTCAATTACACCCATACTGTAATCCTCATTTTCTCAGAAGAACTAAAGTTGATTGAATCTCAACAAGTAGATTTATGTGAGTATTGCTAGAATCCATTTTCAATAGTTAGAATAGGGGTTCTTAAACAGGACATTGGGCTTGCTTTTTAATACTTTTTGTTTTGTTGGTACTACATGCAAAGCACAGTCCACATGGACTGGACAATTGATTTCAACTTGGGGCATTTCATTATGTGATGCACTTAAAGGGTCAACTGGGCTTGCCGCCTGGTGAAAAGTGGCTGGGGAGATCACTGAGATACAGCACAGGTGCTTCGCTGGGTATTTAGAGTGTGGGACATCCTGCACACACATAAATCAATTTTTTCTAGAGTCTGACAGAGGACAAACCAAACCCTCACTTGGCGAATCACTTGAAATATGGAATGAATTTCTTTCAAGCATTTCACCAGGTAAATTTTGCATGTTCAAATGGTTCTTGATTTTCTTTAGGATCTTCATAATGTCATGTACTCAACACAATGGAATTAATTTAATTTATATGTAATTACATCCCGCCTTGCTCCTTCCGTAATCTTGCCATCAATTGACCTCTTGTAATATGCGGTATATCCTTTTTCCAATTATCAAATTTTGTAGATTCACCTTTAAACTATTTTTCATATTTTTTCATATTAAGCATGAAGAGCATTAACAGCTGTGTACTCTTCAAAACTTTTCCTGACCGTATTTTTGTGTGAAGTGCCACGTTTAAATACATTTTTCATAGGATTTTCCTGCTCGCTTCCCATGCTTATACAAAGTTATCCATCAACGTACCATATCCTTCCTTCAATTTAGGTGAGGACTGCTTGTTTGTTGCCTGCTTTACCATGGTGCAAAACTGCATTTCAGTGTAAAAAAGGATTTTTAAATTCACTGTTAATTTATTTATGCTTTGCTTTTAGCACATGTTTAAACTGCTGCTAGATTACTCCTTCCACTAACTCCAAATAAAGACCCCTTATTTTTTCATATAGTTTTAAAATCAATTGAATTTTGCACAATTATTTTCAAATATAATGGGATTTGCAAATTTCCTTCATCTGTTGATTCAACTGTACTGGTGATGGTTCACTATTGGCAGCCTCCTGAGGCAGTCCAACATACAATGCCACTCCTGTTGAGTTCTGTTGTAGCCATAGGCCTAAGGTTAAATCTTCCTAACGGAAGTAGTTTACGGTGATCTAGTTTGAAACCAATTCACTGAATTCAATATTGTTTCAAGGTAAGTGATCTCTCATAAATTAAGACCACTCTGGTCATAATATCAGAAATAAATGATTCATCTAAATTAGGTGAGATGCATTTGAAAAAATGATGTAGCCAATGAGTGCAGTCTAAATGATGCATGTGACAATCTCTTTTTATTTGCTCCCCTGTTCTCCCAACAACTAGATAGGGCACATCAAATACAAATAAGTCCCACTTGTCATCAGCATAGGGGTTTGGTGTTTTGTGGATAATGGCATCTTTGGGGAGGTCTGGGTGTCGATGAATGTGATACAATTTTCTGTTTGGTTTTGCACCATTACAGACAGTAAGACTTTCTAAAACTAGAACATTTGCCCGGATTACAGGGAATAGGGTTTCTGCCTTAAACTGTGCACAAGGATAATATCTGAATGGGAAATACCACCCAGCAAACATGTTTTGTTCCATTGTAAGAAGGACATAGGTTGCTAAAGGAGGAGCTGCATTGTCAGGTTCTTTATAAAATTCAATTTCTTTTTGGCAAAGGCTTGGAGTTCTTTGTTAAAATCCCAATTATTTACATAACATATAGTCTGGCCACTATGTTTTGATTTAATAATATCGGATTTGATCTTGGCCTCGTCACATAGTATGGAGATATTCCTTTCAAATGGTTTTAATGTCTCTGCCTTTACTGCCGCGAGAAGGCAGGTTATATTGTCTGGGTCCACACTAGGTGTGGTTGTAGATGAATTGGTATATTTTTGCATGGCTTGTTTACTTAGACTGTGAAGATATGAGGACTGATGGATGAATTTAAAGGCAGCAGGTGATGCATTATGTTTTTGCATGGACCAGCGAACATCATGTCCTGCTTTTGGTTTTAATTGTATGGCTGACTTTAACTTTGAATACTTTAGCTGTTAAGTGAACATGAGATGAAGGGGGCCTTTTTCATGATGTTTTAGCATACTTTCTTCATATTTAAGTAGTGATGTCCAACAATTCGTCGTTGTGGCTTGCCCTTACTCAGATACCTTCATTATTTAATCTGTTTTTCAACATTTTATTTTCATGTGTTTGATAATTTGTCTTTTCTCCTTCTCCATGGCTTTTACATTTTTTTATGACAGAGAGAACACATTATTTTTTCTTCACACAATTGCTTTATGTGTATTGTTTTAATCTGCAAGTATAATTGTCTGAAGTAACCAGCTATAGTCCTTAATAATCTACATTTCCTCGCCTTTGTTTTTTTATTATTTTTTATTAAAACCTATGTTACATTTACAGGTTGTAGTGGCTATGACCCCAAAGATCAATGATTTGTCTCTGTAGAAATGGATTTACCTTGTTTGATGATCTTTCCTTATAAAAATGTATCTTTCTGTTGCATCCTTATTGCATCCACTATATATGCAAGTAAAATCACGAAGATTTCATTATATTTGATAAATTTATTCAAAATATAAGTAGGTAATGTTTCTATGTGTCACCCTGTACATAAAAGGCATTAGAAGATGAACTATGTAGCCAACATTTTTACACATATTTATTATATATGTGTGCAAGAAAAAAATAAAAGTAATAAATGTATGAATTGTAATTATTTGCCACCCATGTTCTTCATTAATAATTCACCAAGTGATGATGTAGAAATGTCATTGTTGGGCACCAAGTCTGGCATCGGCAATTTTAAAACCCACATACTGGTTGAAGGGATCTGGGTATCTGGACCTTATCCTGATTACACAACAACTTGGGATAACGGCTCGTACGCCCTTCCCCAATCTGCCGTATTCCAAAGAATAAACTGTCTGTATGCATCATAGTGGTAGGCCCTAGATATGTCGGCATCCGCGTCATCTGCATTATATTCTCCATAGCCTTAAAGGTATTGCTGGTGAGCTATATTTGATAAATTTATTCAAAATATAAGTAGGTAATGTTTCTATGTGTCACCCTGTACATAAAAGGCATTAGAAGATGAACTATGTAGCCAACATTTTTACACATATTTATTATATATGTGTGCAAGAAAAAAATAAAAGTAATAAATGTATGAATTGTAATTATTTGCCGCCCATGTTCTTCATTAATAATTCACCAAGTGATGATGTAGAAATGTCATTGTTGGGCACCAAGTCTGGCATCGGCAATTTTAAAACCCACATACTGGTTGAAGGGATCTGGGTATCTGGACCTTATCCTGATTACACAACAACTTGGGATAACGGCTCGTACGCCCTTCCCCAATCTGCCGTATTCCAAAGAATAAACTGTCTGTATGCATCATAGTGGTAGGCCCTAGATATGTCGGCATCCGCGTCACTGCATTATATTCTCCATAGCCTAAAAGGTATTGCTGGTGAGCTAACGCGATCCCAATCACGGTTTCATCCAAAATGGCTATATCCATTTTCTGAAATCAACAAAAGACAGATTGAATACATAAATTACACCAAAGGTACAGCAATACGACCATATACATTATACAAACAATAAGGATTTCATTTCTGTACTATGATGACAGCTGACTCTGCAAAGTGAAACAATGATTTAAAGCATCATGTTCAATGAGGACTTTTTTAGTTCCCTATGCCATGTGCACCAATCCCCAATACTACTACAATAAATGACTAATTCCTCAAATAACAATCTTTTTCATTTAAGTTTACATCAGATGTCTTTTAATTACATTGAAGTGTAATATGTACAATGAGGACCTTTGTCTTTTGCACATTTTTACACATATTTATTATATGTCTGCAAGAAAAAAGGAAATTAATAAAAGTATGAATTGTAATTATTTTCCACTTATGTTCTTCATTAATAATTCACCAAGTGATGATGTAGAAATGGCATTGTTAGGCACCAAGTCTGGCATCGGCAATTTTAAAACCCACATACTGGTTGAAGGGATCTGGGTATCTGGACCTTATCCTGATTACACAACAACTTGGGATAACGGCTCGTACCCCCTTCCCCAATCGGCTGTATTCCCAAAGAACAAATTGTCTATATGCCCCATACTGGTAGGCCCTAGATATGTCGGCATCCGCGTCGTTTGCATTATATTCTCCATAGCCTAAAAGGTGTTGCTGGTGAGCTAGTGCGATCCCAATCACGGTTTCATCCAAAACGGCTATGTCCATTTTCTGAAATCAACAAAAGACAGATTGAATACATAAATTACACCAAAGGTACAGCAATAAGACCATATACATTATACCAGAAATAAGGATTTTATTTCTGTACTATGTTGACAGCAACAAAGTTTTCCCTGTGCATGAATTTTGGATCGTCTCCCTTCTTCAGTCTTAGATTTTCTTTTTTATTCCAACTGGCATTTGCAGCCTATTTGCTTTGACTGTACCACAGGCAAAAGTGTTCTGACCTGCAGTCACTAACTAATATGGGTGCGGTCCATGTAGATGATATGATTTTGGTGTAGCATTGTCTGTTGGAAATGTTGATTTTCCTGTATAAATCAGTTGGTTTAGTAGGAACATATAAGAAACACAAGAAAACATTGTCACCATCTATGAAAACGCTTTTGCATCCAACCCATGTACTGGAGGCAAAGCACTCACTTGGTTCCTTTAACTTTATAGATAATTTCTCATCATTGATGCCTACGATGATTCTCATCATGATTCTTTCATCATTGTCTTTAAAATGCAATTTAGTGCCTTGATCATATAGTCCCCTGATATAGTGTTCCACAGAGTTGCCATGGGTTTGTGTCTTTTTGTAGAATTTGAATCTTTTAAATATGAGAAATCCTTCTTGGCACAAAGTAAGCATCTAATTTCCCAATGACCTTATCACATACATTACTAGGATCATCTTCAGGATCAGCTGCTCCCTCTTCGACTGGTGCTGGGCAAACCATGTAAATTCTTGGTAAATTTCTTCAGCCTCACTTCCCATTGAGTATTTTATAATTTATTTTGGAACTAAAAGATAATAGCATGGGATAATAATTAACCTTAAGATGCCCTTAAAATAGCACTATAGCTTTTAGTTATAGTGAGGGGAAAAAACACATTATTTTTACATTTAATGAGCTACGTCAAAAAAGGTAGTGCGATTTGCGACACTTTGTCCAATTCAAAATGTATATACAGTATTTATGCTTAAGATACTATGTTATTGGTAATAGCACTTTACGATGTATATTGTTATGTATTTAAGGTTCGTAATAGACAATATAACATTAGAATTTAGATGAACTACTTTATTCTCAGAGATTTAAGGTCAGCACACTAGTGACGTCATCATCACCTGCTGTTGGAGCAGTTTTCACTCATTGTTCTCTTCTTCAGTAGTGCACATAAGCAATCTTAGGATGTATAATTGCATCATTAGATGGTTACTAAGGAAGTTTATCTTAATTACTATTACTTGTCTTTATTGTACTACTAGTTTTTTTGGTATCCTATAATATTTTATTGTTATTATTTTATATTATTTTCATTTCTCATATAATATATTATACATTTCTTAATTTATTCTCACATGATACATGTTAAACTTCAATATTAATAACTTCATTTCACTTCAACGGTCAATACCTAGGTTAGAACACCAAAAATAGTGGATGGAAGAATACCCATCTTATTCTTTTTTCAAAATAATTAGAAATCAGTTATAATTTTCTGAATATTCTTCAGTCTTTAATTGTGGATGATGCAAATTCCAGTTCAATGAATTCTTATACAAACGCTTTCATTTCATGTTTATCATTATAATTCATGGCGTTTGGGTAGTATATTGTACTACTAGTTAAAGTATATCAGTTGGTATATCAGTTGTATAATGAAGTATACTTATAGTAAATGAGGCTCATACTATATGTTATATATGCTATATCAAATATGTATATGCCATGGCTTATAATTCAGATATTGTATTACACATTAATCTTTGTTGCTTTTTTTAATGTTTATACACCATACAGCACTACAATTTTTTCATTAATAATAATTTACCTTATGAAAGTGTTTGGTTGCTGCTGCTGGTTGACTTGAGGTGTACTGAAAACAAATAGGAAAATAAACATTTCATTACAATTCATTAATATTAAAACAACTACATGTTGCAAGCCAGTTAAGATAATATTTAGAAGATCTATTCTTTAGTTTAATTGAATGTTGATAAATGTTTTGGATAAAACTGAAATATAGAGCACTGGCAGATTTGGTATATCAGTTGCATAATGAAATATGTTTATATTAAATGAGGCCCATACTATATGATCATACAGCACTAGAGCTTTTTCATTAATAATAATTTACCTTATGAAAGTGTTTGGTTGCTGTTTCTGGTTGACTTGAGTTGTACTGGAAATAAATAGAACAATAAATATTTCAATTTACTATTACTAAAACAACTGCATGTTGTAAGTCAGTTTAGACCAGTTAAGTGGGTGTGTTCTTCGATCCAAATAATTTGAGACAAAACATGGCACTTGGTACATCAATGAATTAACACACGGGATGTCGCACTACGGACTTTCCCTACACAACACACTTTGCTTACTGTCCTTAAACACAATTCTAATAGAAAATGTAACTTTATTAAATTAAATAATGAAATTATTGCTTATTTCAGTATTCATAAAACATATTGTGTATATGTTGGTGGTGTATTTCCTACAACACTCTTTCCTGGAGTATAGAAGTACATAGTGCGTGATGTACATGTCACCCGGCCACCCTGTTACCCGGTTTTTTACACAAACCCCTAGTCTACTCATCCTTCCAACCTAAATTCTGGATCACGATCAATTGTGTTAATATATTGAATGTTCACGATCATCAAATTCAAAAAATATTAATAGCTTAATTGTCTAGTAAGCTTAACAAATACACGAACGTCTCTTCGTGAAGACTGGTTTCTGATTCTGAAAAGTTGACTTGAAAAGTTTGTTGAAAATTCTCACAAACATGCTTCCAGGCTCTCGATTATACAGAATTATTTCGACAGTCTGAATTCAAATTGATTGGGTGTACAATGGCGTATAAGAAAGACATACCTTTTGACGAACTAGCCTCCATATTTGGTTTGTTATACTTCATAAAATGTAGATAAATTTGTTTGATTTTTTCCCGGAAAAACGTGAGAAAAGTTTGCTTATGCGCATGCGCGTAATGTACTTCCGCTAGCTGAAATACCAAACACATCGAAAGTCGTTGTCGGTTGTCACTTAAGTAAACACATTAAAGCCTTATTTAGGTCAGCGACCGGGTCTGAGCCGATAGATAGCGACTGTCGATATGCACAGCAGGTCCTTTTCATCTTTTAATGGATTGGCCATAAAATAACAATTAAATTGTCAGTTGCCCTCCGTTATTTGTACTAGCAAATACAAGCTTGTATTCCATACCTACTGAGGTTCTAGGTACATAACGAGCGGGAATATATACTGTATCTAGCCAAGGCCCGGGGCGGGATGGATACACGCTGTATCCATCCCGGTCCCGCTCCTGAAATTTTCTTTTTCACATTTTTTTCAAATTTTTTTTTTGAATTTTTTTCAATTTTTTTTTTCCAAAAAAATGTTCCCATTTTTTCAAATTTTTTTTCACCATCCTTTTTCAAAAATTTTTTTTCACATTTTTTTCAATTTTTTTTTCAAATTTTATTTTTCAAAATATGAGTTATATGAGTTTGAAATTTCTCAGAAACTTAAAAAAACATTTTATAACACCAAGAAAATGCGTATCTTCAGTATATTTTTGAATTTTGGAACTTTATAAGGTATATGACGTACCTAGAACATCAGTAGGTATGAAATACATCTGTTATGTACGGTCGGTTTTGGTTACAGGGTTTATCCCTCGGGAAATATGTGTATATCCCTCGGTCCCTGCGGTCCCTCGGGATATACACATATTTCCCTTGGGATAAAACCTGTATCCAAAACCTCCCAGTACATAACCCTTATATTGTTCTTTAAAAATAATTAGAAATCAGTTTTAATTTTCTGAATATTCTTCAGTTTACTTTGATTGTTGATGATGCAAATTCTAGTTATGGGTCGTTCAATAAATTCTAATACAAACGCTTTCATTTCAAGTTTATCATTATAATTCATGGTGTTTGGTTAGTAGTCTGTGGGACATTTCATTAGGTAAATTGTCTTTTGTCCATGGCAGTAAGGCGCTGTGCAGGGAGAGGTGAAGTTGATTGAGACGCTATATTGATGGTTATAGTGTTTTCAGCAGGAATTTGTTTGGCACAGTTATAACAATGCCTCTTGATTTTCTCTGAGTTTGATTTTAAGATTCACATTTTACACCCATCTACTTCACAGGCAATTTATGAGTGAAACATCTCACAATGTTTTTGAACTGATCCACTATTGGAAAGGTGGTACAACAACGATGCCCGTGTAGTCGAAAACAATCACATATATACTTCTGCAAGTATATAAAGCATGTATCAAACAAGTTAATCCAGATCATAATTTTTCAACCAAGCGTTTTTTCTGTCTTCCAAAAATATTTTGAGAAAATTAGAATCAGGATGCTGAAGAACAGGCTCTTCACTCATGTCATCCAACCTCATAGACATTGAATACTTTGCACTTCCTGCACCTTACCTCAGTGAAATGATGGTGAATAATAACTGAATATTCATGTTTTTAACACAAATATTCATGGTTAGAAATACATGAATATGCTTTGAACGGGTATAATGAAGTATAATTATTCACGAATAATCATGTATTTGATATGAACAACAATTGAAACAACTTATGTTATTCATCATTATTCTGAACTTTGATATGAAGAATGTTCTGGAATATTCTTATTCCTCATTATTTTTGAGAGCAATAATCCCCATGTAAAGCCCACTTATATATTCATCATTTTACTGAATAATAATGAGACAGTATTTCATCTTTATTAACATGTAATATTTACAGTATTTTATGGTCAAGTACCATCAAACAACATTTTAATTTCACTGTTCCTGAATATTACTCATTGTGAACCAACAAAAATTGAGAATTATCAAGCATTATATGTCATTTTTGTATTCTTCATGTGTAGAATAGTCAGTCATTAAGTGTTCATGAATATTCATTTATTTGTTTTGAACAACAAATGAAACACCAAGTGATGCCAAAGCAAAGCTACAGAACATAACATAGTTTGCAATGGTGCTACTTTCTTTTGGCAATAAAGAAGTATAAGGTATAATAACCATGGTATCATGGTTAAAGTTAAAGTTCAAGGCCGAATTTCGACAATTTAAGCAATATGAGTCAAGAAAATAGTCTTACCTTTCTATTAGGATGGGTTCAGGTGCCAAAAATAACTGATCCATGGATATATATCATTTTGAAATTTGGATGCAAGAAATATTTTTTCGGAGCCATGTTTTTTTTACGACTCATAACAGGAAATAGATTATCTAAATGAAAACTGAATTTACATCATCAATCCTGGTTTTGACTTAAAAATTTACCGAAATAGATATTTAAATATTATTAAAATGATTATTGGCTATTTTTTTTATTAATCTTATGCAGTGATTCGACTGTCTTTTAAGATTTATAACATAGCTTTAGAATTACAGTGATATTTCATCATGCCAGTCTGGCCTAATGGAGAAAGGCGCAGTACTAAGGTTTTGATGATTGAATCCAGCTGTCGGTGGTTCGATTCCCGGTCGAGACTAAGTTTTTTTTTCTTTTTTATATATCTCTCAGACACAATTTTTTTTAAAAATCTCTTTTTATACAACATATAGTCATATCTATTACTTTTTGAGG